AGTGAACGCGAAGAAGAAGAAGAATATTGCAAGCAAAACCAAATGAAAAGCAGCTACAATTCATTACCCTTAGATCTATGCTAAATCAAATGGGTCAGCTAACCAAACAGACTGTGCTCCACTGGATCCCAGACCATTGCAGCGTTAACTGAAAGGAAACAGCTGGCTACTGAGTGAAAACTGGAAGTCATACAGAACACCCAGATACAGGATGCACTTATGAGGCGGGAAAACTTGAATCAAGGCAGCCATTAGAATACACTGCACACTTCCCATCCAGAAACCAATCCTGAAGACCCAGTCAGCCTCCTCTGTGAAAGAAACAGACCATTATTTTTAGACCTTGCACTGGACACAAAAGACTGCAGTCGTATCAAAGAAAATCTTTGGCTGAGGATTCAGAACTTTGTCCATGTGGATATGGATCACAGAATACTGACCATGTGCTACAGACATGCTCTCTGCACGCAGCAGAGAGAACCCAGGTTTGACCAGTTGGCATTCCAGTGGAAACAAAACTGTAGCGAATAGTAGGAGACATGGGTCACACCACATAATTCAAAGAGGCCTTTGGCCTTCTTTTCCTAAAACAGCTGGCAGAGAGAACGAAAAAAAGAAACACTACACAGGCATACATAGAACCAAATAAATTTAACTACGCTTTTCAACAACAGCTCACTGCAGACAGGCAAATATATCCACATTTATGGGATTGTGTCACAACTAGAAGTGTCTTCTTGAGGCAGCAGGGTTAAGCGTTATGGGGAAGGACGGTTTATAAAGTACTTACATTTAATTTTCTTAAATCCTTTCATCTTTTTTTTACTTCTGCTGTAGTCATTAATTGTTATTTTATATAAGTTAGTTGTGTATGCTTTACAGGATCTTGCAGAACCAGCCCATGCATATTTTGGTTGTCTGTGATTTCATTAGGCATTGTTTACATTCAGTAGTTTGCCATTGCTTCCTGAATGGTCAGCTTTTGATGCAGCCAATGCAAGGCCATTTGCTGTCAGTTCACCTGCAGTTTGGATCAAACATTGATATACACGCTATATATATATACACACACACACACACCCACACACACATACATATATACATACACACACATATATTAACACAATATACATGTATATATACTAGGGCTGTACCGAATATTCACTTCATATTTGCTTCGGGGCTGACCTATTGACTATTCGGTATTCGGCCGAATAGTTGCGGTCGGGCCGAATACGAATAGTAGTTACCTTACATCCGCTTCTACATATACGGCCTTAATACTGACAACATGGAACAATTGGTTTTGTTGAAAGCTAATGCAGCTTTCATGCATTAACTAAGCTGTCAGTGACAATTTCCAAGTTTAGTTACTTGGTGTAGGATTCTTAGGATACTTAGGATTCTCTCACTCCTAGTTATTAGTTAACACAGACTGACTGAAGGGTGCAAACTATAAAATGTTTTTAAATGTTTACTATTCTGTAGGAATACTAACTAGACATGGAAAGAATATAAACTCCGGCCACATCCAAGTCAATAATATAAAAATCAAACGAACGGAAACATAAGTACTTGGGTGCAAACTTCAACTGCTCCAACATGCTGAGAGAAGAAATACAATATAGAATACAATCTAGAAAAAAATGTATACTATGACCTTTAACATCTGCTAAAGTCAAAGGTCTGTCTCGCAAGACCAAGATCAAAATATCTAAAACGTTGATTAGACCAGTCGTGTTATATGGCTCTGAAACCTGAAGCAGAAATAAAAAATATGAGGCCTTATTACAGGTTTTCGAAAACATCCTTACGAAAAATCTTTGGACTCATCAAAGATGCTAACATCGGTGAATGGAGAGCGAGAAGCAACAACGTTACACATAATCTGTTTAAATCACTATTGATAACTGGCATCATTAGAGCTAACAGACTAAAATGTTTGGGGCATTTTGAAAGAATGTCAGATGACAGAGAAGTAAAACTGTAAACACCTGAGAGAGGAATGGGCGTAGACCACGAGGCAGACAAAAAAGAAGATCAAGAGATAATGTCCAGCTAGTCCTGCAAACAACTGGTGTCACAAATTGTGAAGAGAAGGTCAGCCAGGGAAATAAATGGAGACGACTGATATCTGCATCAGTAAACATCAAAGGCTCAGAATGCTAAAGAAGAAAATGACTATTCTGTGCTACTTTTTGTGAAGTAAAAGTTCAGCGTACATTTGACATTATGAATGTGTGGGTGTTTTTTTTTTTAAAGAAATATTTTATACACCATACACTATTTGTATTCATATTCGGCCGAATAGTTGGTCCCGCTATTCGTATTCGGGCGAATAGTGAAAATCCCTATTCGGTACAGCCCTAATATATACACATATATATATGTGTGTGTGTATACATATATATATATATACACACACACACACACACACATATATATAAAAATTGCATGTTTTCCTAACCTCAAAGTAGAAGAATATCACTGTTATGTCACATTGATCAGCGACAGTTTCACAATTTTTTTTCAGCCATATTGTCATCAAACCAAAGGGAAATTCAGAATGTCATACCTACTAGTGACAGTCAAAAAAGAAGACAATTACGAAGCTCATTAAGACAAAAAATGAGTATCCATCACTCCAGGAGGGTGAAAGTAAGCTGACTATAGTTATTTTCTGTGTATTAGTTTTGTGTCACCTGTTCTCATTATTTATCAGTACCTCATTAACAGGAGAGTACTATCATAACTGTTTGTCGCCGACCCCAAGTGGATATACACTCACATAGTGAATGTGTGGGTTTGAATCCTGACACTGCACACCCACAAGAGAAATTGGACTAATATCTGAGCTATACTGATTCCAGACAAAATCCTGGATAACCAAGAAAACAGCAAAAGTGGGTTGTACAATAAAATGAAACTAGCTATACTTGTATCCATGATTTGATTTGATTCAAGAACCAACATCACAGCACTCGGTGCATACCCATAAGAGCTCAATCCCCATCTTCAGCAGCCAGTGATGAGTTCTGATGGTGCCAGTAGCATTCTGATTAAATGTCCCTCTTGCCTTTCCTCTGAGCCATCACTCCCCCCTGCATCAATCTCAACAGACTGTGGTGATCCCTCTGCTCCTTCGAACTGTATCCATGGGAGTAGGAAAAGGGTAGTTAGATATCAAGAGTAATTCAAGACGAAAATATCAAGATACACAGTACACAGTTAACCCCTCTGACTTTTTCCTCTCCTGGTATTAATTTATAACAATAGTCTCCATCAAGTGATTTACATAGAAGTGAGCTGAAGTAAACTAGTATGTACCAAGACACTTGAACCTAAGTACACAATTTACTCAGCTATGATGTTTTTACAACTTGTACATGATTTTATTCTATCAATCAAAAGATAAATAAATGGTACTGAACTTGCAATCATAAAATATAATAACTAAGTGATGGCAGTGAGTTCAATGCGTGCTTATGAAAGTAGAGTGAGGATGGTGTTACAATGATAATAATTCTTATGAACATAACTTGGATTATTATTATTGCAAAGTTGCAGTCTTTGAGGCACCTGCACCTAAAAAAAATTTTTTTTTTTTTGGGGGGGGGGGGGGGGGGGTCTCATTGAGCAGTAAAATTTTTTACTGTTATTACTATTACAGCTGCATAGCCCCCCCCCCCCCCCCTTCCCGACCCCCCAAATTAATATATTTGAAATAATATGAAATGTATAAACAAGTGACAGAACATCGCTCTCTCTAAATATGTATATGTGTGTGTGTCTATATATGTATTTGTAAATTTGTACAGGAGCCTGAGGTTCCTTTCCCCCCCCCCCAGTAATATGTTAGGGAGCAGTCTCCCTCATATATATATATGTTTGTGTGTGTGTGTGTGTGTGTCTGTGTGTGTGTGTGTGTGTGTGTGTGTATGATTAAACCAGCCGCTACACGTTAGAAAATCATTTCATCTATACTTTTGGATTTCTTAGTCCTGGAGGGATCAAGATTTAACACAGCTTTATTTTCTTTATTTACTTGTTCATTTATTTAACCTATTCATATTTCTCTCCCTCTTTTTTACATATGCCTTCTTGCATATTTTGTTTTGTATTATAGCCCTTCATATTTTTTATTTTTCTGCCATTACCTACTTCTTTGTTTTATTTTGGCCGTGCTCTTTTATTAGCTCTGTTATGTCTTGCCTGTTGAGTTTTCCAGTCACAGTTTGTGCTGTATTTAGTACTCCATTGATAAAGACTTTGGTTGAAACGTTCGGTTGTGTTTGTGTGCATCTTTTCCATTCCTTCCATTGAGCTTTCTCATCGCATTTTGTGTTTTATTTAGTGTTCAAGAAGAAAAACTCACTATAATGTTTTTTGATTATGCTATGTTCAGCATACAATTCTCAGTTTCTTCTTCCCCTTTCCTAGCCTGTTGCACTGATTAATTATTGATCTGCCAAACGGATGTAAATGCAACACTCAGTCTCTGGAACAGGACTAGAGTCCAGAAGTGGACGAACAACTAGAACTTTTCCGTCGGAGTTTACAGCCGGCGAACGCGAAGAAGAAGAAGATATATATATGCCCAGTAGGCCTGAAGATGTGATAAAGAGTCCTTTACTTTGCTTTTTACTTCCTGAGATAGAGTTTTAGAGAATTATAGCATTACATGCCTTTTTAATGAAAGTTTAAAAAAGGTTATTTTTTATGATTCTAAGAGTTCTAAAGAGTTAATCTTTTCCTTTTGGTACTTTACTCTTTGTGCCCCATATTTGTATTATTTTATTTTAAATCAGCAAAACTCCAATATTACTGCTCTAAAGTGCACATACTTCTGGATAGGAATTATGTAAGTAATAATTACCTGGTGTGTTCTTTCTTCTACATCTGTGAGTGCCAATCATTAAATCTCATTTTCTTCATCATCTTTAGGACTGATAAAGTTAACAGATTTTTTTTTACCACTACACAGATAAGCCATGATGGAGGGGAGGACAACTGGGAGAATGAAGCATTCTGCCTGAAAGTTCTGTGTGAGGATGAAAAGGTGATGTATTGTTAGTGTCAACTACTCGGTTATTTGTTTATACAGATTTCAGCTGCATTCTTTCCTCTATGCAGACAATTTAGTGAAAAACGAAAACATGCACACACACACACACGCTGATGATGATTAAAAACTCTCTGCACATAAACAGCCGCAGAGAGCTGTGTTGCATGGTCAAGTCATTTATTACTAGGACTAGAATCCATATACAGAAGCATAAAGAATGCCCTAGACATCTTTGAAGAAGTTTCCCATAAAGATAAACTCGAGGAGAATAATGAATGAGTACACACTAAGGAAACAATATATCCAGCATTTTAAAAGCACAATGTTAGTAAGTTTGTCTCATTATTCATAGTACAATTTATATCAATCACATACCAAATCAAAGCAAAATCTGGAACAGTACAAATAACGTTTGAGTCATATAAAAATTGCAAGATTTAGAATAACAAATATATACTTTGAGAACTCAATTAACATTATATATCCGAATCATAAGCCTGAGGGTTGAATAGGATATTTTTGATAAATTACTACTACTGCTGCTGCTGCTGCTACTACTGCTACAACCATGCATGCACGCACTCACTTACACACTCACTTTCACACACACACATACACAGACATGCGCGCACACACAACAACACTAAGATTAGTTTTGTGATCATTTTGATGTACTGATAACAGGTGAAAACCAAGTTTCCAAGCTCAGAGATGCAAATGTTGCATTAAACAGTGATAATAAGTAGGACTGTTAGTCCATCTCTAAACGACACTGTGAAGATCTAGACCGGTTTTTCTGAACTCTAAAAAAAAAAAACTTACAATAATAATGTTACAGACAAAACTACATGGCAACCAGAGATTTCAGTTAACAATGAAGAAATTGAAGATGTCACATACTTTGAATATCTTGGCTCCATAATTAACAAGAGTGGGAACTATTCAAAAGGAACCAGAAGGACAACTGGTACAGCAATGCATATTTTAACAGAATATTCAGAGCCAAATGCACAACACCAGCAGAGAAATTACAGAAATGATTATGAGAAAATATCTTTCCTGTCATAGCATAATCTGGAGCGCTGAAGTGCTAAAAGATTCTCAGAATATCTTGGACAAAGAAGATGAGAAATATTGACATCTTAAAAGATCTGAACATCAAGGAAGATTGGCTAATAAACAGCATCCTTTCTCGAAAGCTGAAATATTTTGGTCATATCAAGCGCCACGACGGATTGGAAAAAATTATACCGGAAAGCATGGTACCAGGAAGGAGGGACAGAGGCCGACCGACACAAAGATGGGCACAGGATATAGGTGACTCCTTGAGTGTGAAAGTGCATGAGGCAGGAGAACTGGCGAGAGACCGAGTTTCTTTCAGGCAGACTGTGATGAGAGCGACGTTCTGCAAAGGACCTGCTACATGATGATGATGAAGTGCTGAACTACATGTGAAGGTGCACCAGAACAAGACTAATGTCTGAAAGTGGTTAAACAACCAGAATTTTCCTCCAGAGTTTACAGCTTGAGAACTCTGAGAAGAAACATAATGTTTTTAGAGAAAAGTCCCTACTTCTTCTTCTTCTTCACTTCCTCTTTTACCGCTGTGGGTGTCGAGGGAGATATAAGGTTCTGTTTAAAGTCCCTACTTCTTCTTCTTCTTCACTTCCTCTTTTACCGCTGTGGGTGTCGAGGGAGATATAAGGTTCTGTTTAAAGTCCCTACTAGTTGTTATAAACATTCATGTATTCATTAAAATGCATCTGTTGCATGTGACTTATATAGGAATTGTATAGAAGGCGATTTCTAGCTGGTGCATAAATAAAGGAACTTTATTTGTAAAGATTTAGATCTGACGGCCATGGGTTTGGATCCTGCGGGAGCCGGACTTTTTTTTTTTTTAATTATTATCTTGGCTTCTAGGTTAACCCAACCTTGAGTGAGTACCAGGTACAGTTCTGGGAAGTAAAGGCCGCCGGTGTGATGCTGACCACCATCATCCTCCATGTGCCGGTTAGTCAATAAATTATAGGTCTAGTCCTATATGCCCCAGTACGCCTAAGGGCTTGGAAAAGGGTCCTTGACTTTTACTTTTGTTTACTTATTTGTAAAGGGTCGCAGACTGGGCATACAGAAGGCCCATGTGACATTTTGCCCTTCTATGTTTAAGGTTTGAACAACGGATCAACATCTTGGCACATGGGTAGTATCCCATAAGTGCTCCGCTCTTCTTCCAACTCAAGTCTGAGTCCAAAGAAGCTCAGCACAGTGCACAGGCTCTGTAGCACCGACGAGCATCCTGAAATACTTTGGGTAGATTTTTAACCCAAAATTTTGCCCCGGCAGTGCCGTTAGGCTACTCTTTTTAATTTCAAACTGCCATGGATTTTTCACGTGCACACCAATGCACATGAGCGTCTGATCTCTCTACCCAGAGACCAGGAGGAATTACTAGAAGTCCAAGTCCACATGAAAAAATCCCAGCCCTTACCAGGGATTGAACCTGGAACCTCTAGCACTCGAGGCGGACATCATGCCTCAAGACCACGCAGCCCCTCCTTCGCCCATCAAAAGACACATCTTTCAAAGCAATTGTATTTTATCAATAAAGTATCAGAAATTAAAATCATAAAGCATATCAAATACATCCATCATGGCACCCTGTAGATTATGTAGATAAAGATGGGGGGAACTAATAGCGATATTAAAATACAAAGACAAAAGGCAAGAGGAGCTTTCATAGCACTAGGGAATTTGTGGACGTAAAAAAACATTAAAAGAAATACTAAACCTAAAATTTTTAACTCTAATTTCAAATCAGTACTTTTGTATGGAGTTGAAACATGGAGAATAACTAAGACAGTTACTAATAAACTACAGATATGCATTAACTGGTGCCTGCGCAGAATAGAGGGAATTAAATAGTATGATAGAATCACTAATGTATAGCTTTGGTACAGAACTAAGCAAGCTCCAGTATACTAAGAGGTGAAGAAAAGATGCTGGTGTTGGATAGGACACACATTGAGAAAAGCGCAGAACAATATTACTAGAATGTCTTTGTATTGGAACCTACATCAGTTCTCGTTATGCCAAGTGGCACATGAGGCTTCAGAGAGGACTTTCCATGCTTTCCTTTCCTGTGCAATCTTCATTGCAGTTTTCCATGTCAAAGATGCCGCACTCAGGTTACTTTCCATCGTTCGTCTCCATGTTGTTTTTGGGCGCCCCTGTTTTTTCTTTCCCTCTGGTGTCCATGTGAGAGCTGTTTTGGCAGGTATATCAGAAGTCATTCTCATAATGTGGCCAAGCCATTTCCATCTTTTCTTGGTAATCATACTGACTAAAGTTTCTTGGTTTGTGGCTTGAAGTAGTTTAGTGTTTGAGATTGTATTTGGCCAGAAAATTTTGATAATTCTACGTAGACATGTGTGGTGGAAGGTGGACAGCTTGTGTGCATCCTTTTTGGTCATTCTCCAGCATTCCGCTCCATAAAGAAGAACTGGCAAAATGATGCTCTTGTAGAGTCGGAGTTTTGTTCCTCTGCAGTAACTGTTGGATTTCTAGATTTGCCTCATCCTTCCAAAAGCAGCTCTAGCTTTGTTCAGACGTGATTGTATGTCTTCCTCTGTCCCTCCCAGTAGGGACACCACACTGTCAAGATATGTAAAATGTTCTACATTTTCAAGTGATTGGTTACTTATGGTCACTGGTTGTTGGTTTGGACTGTTTGTCATGATCTTAGTTTTCTTTGTATTTATTCTCAGTCCCACCATTTCTGCTGTGCAGTTTAGTCTGTTACTTTTCTCTTGTATATGTTCATGTTTATGTGATAGGAATGCTATATCATCTGCAAAATCAAGGTCCTCAAGCATGGTGAATGAAGTCCATCGTATGCCTCCTAATGTCCTGTCTACTGTGTTCTTAAGTATCCAATCAATCACAAGGTTGAAGAGGAGAGATGACATAACACATCCCTGTCTTACACCCGTCTTCACTGGGAAAGATGTATTGTAATTTTTTATACTGCAGGAAAAGTCTTTATAGAAGAGAGCAATTATGTTGACTATGTTTTCTGGAATTCCATAATGTTGTAAAATTTTCCACAGACCGTCTCTATGGACACTGTCAAAAGCTTTCTCAAAGTCCACAAAATTAATATATATACTTCTCTGCCATTCGTTGCATTGTTCTAAAATGTTACATATGGCGAAGATGTGCTCAGTTGTTCCTATGCCCTTTCTGAATCCTGCTTGTTCCACTCGTAGGCATTTATCTACTCCTTTTTCAAGCCGCATTATGATGATTTTACAAAATATTTTGTTTGGTACTGAGAGTAGAGTAATTCCCCTCCAATTATTGCAGTCTGTTAAGTCTCCTTTTTGGGGGATTTTGACTATTGTTTCTTCAGTCCAGTCGTCAGGCAACACTTCTTTTTCCCAAATATCCTTGAACAATGGTTCTAGAATGCTAGCAGTTGTGTTGGGATCTACTTTGAGAAGTTCTGCTGGCAGTTCGTCTTTGCCTGGTGCTTTGTTGTTCTTTAAAGTGTGGATAGCTTTAAGGATTTCTTGTTTGCTTGGTGGTTCAGTAATAATGTCAATGTCCTGAGAGGCTGGTTGAATATCTGGGGGATTAAATAGTATGATAGAATCACTAATGTATAGCTTTGGTACAGAACTAAGCAAACTCCAGTATACTAAGAGGTGAAGAAAATATGCTGGTGTTGGATAGGACACACATTGAGAAAAGCGCAGAACAATATAACTAGAATGTCTTTGTATTGGAACCTACAGGGGCATAGAAATAAAGGAAGCCCAAAAAACACATGGAGAAGGGAGCTGGAGAATAAAGTTAGAAAGATGGGGAGGACATGAGGAAAGCTGCATGCGATAGCAAAGGATAGAACGACTTGACGTGAGTAGATTGAGGGCCTATGCTCCATTGGGGGCTAGAAAAGCAGAAAAATACTGGCACCCTACAACTAGGTTATAGTCAGGGAATAGTAAAAGCAGAACGAGAACATAAAAATAGTAAGCATACATGCATCTGTGCAAATGAGAAACTTAAAAAGTGTTTGTGAAGAATGTCATAAATTGTGTATCATTTTTAAAAGGTTTTATGATATATTATTACTTATATGATGAAATAGGGCTGGCATGTTTGTGAGACATTGTTTACTATCAAGATGAATGAGAACATGAAAAGCATGATCAAAGGATGTTCCGCTTATCTGGCACGAATGTACGCCATATTGCGCCAGAGTGCTGTCACCTTGAACTGCTTTGATGGACCAGTGGGGTTCAAGTTTACATCATGGGTTGATCAGGTAAGATTGACTATCTTTACAAATATTGTGTCTTATCTCTTGCTAAGGTTAACAAAACTCCCAGTAATCCACCAAGTTTTGCAGAGCTAGCCAATCTTTCAGCCTGTTCATATCCCAACACACCAGCATAACCTGGAGAAAAGATCCAGCCAGTGCTCTTCACCCTTGACCTCTGAAGGGAAGCATGCCACTCTGCACAAAGCATGCCTGCCCTCACCATCCTCAGCATACTTTCTGAGTCAGTTACAATTACAAGTCTCTTAACTCAAAATTCTTTGTTGGAAACAACAGGTTTAACACTCCATGTGTGGGTTCATGGGTACCATTTTGGGTGTGGGAGGTGTTAGGGGGAGAAGACCTAGTGTCCCAAAACAAAAAACAAGCTTGTTGTAAAAGATTTCTAAAAAAAAAAATTTACAACAATAAGGAACAGTGTACTGTCATAGCCTCTACTAAGTTTTCAATCTTGCAACAATAAGTAGACAAGGTGGGTGCTCAAATCTGCTGGCAACAGTTTTAAATCCTCTGGAATTTAGTGCATACAGAATCTGTCTATATCTTCTTGTTTCCATTGTTGACAAGTTATCTCTGTTGCTGCCAGTCTGTTGCTTTTTCTGCCCTTGGTATCCCATGTCAATTACAGTCCTTCGTATCCGTTTCTGCTGTCTTTCTCCAGTTATCCTTTGGTCATCCATGTCTCCTTTTTCCATCTGCCATGTACAGAAGATTTGCCTTTACCACAGTGTATGAGACAATCTGCAAACATGTCCAAGCATAGAGTCTGCCAAGTACAGAAGAGTTGCCTTCACCACAGTGTCATGAGGCAATCTGCAAATATGTCCAAGCATAGAGTCTGCCAAGTACAGAAGAGTTGCCTTCACCACAGTGTCATGAGACAATCTGCAAACATGTCCAAGCATAGAGTCTGCCAAGTACAGAAGAGTTGCCTTCACCACAGTGTCATGAGACAATTTGCAAACATGTCCAAGCATAGAGTCTGCCAAGTACAGAAGAGTTGCCTTCACCACAGTGTCATGAGACAATCTGCAAACATCTCCAAGCATAGAGTCTGCCAAGTACAGAAGAGTTGCCTTCACCACAGTGTTATGAGACAATCTGCAAACATGTCCAAGCATAGAGTCTGCCAAGTACAGAAGAGTTGCCTTCACCACAGTGTCATGAGACAATCTGCAAACATGTCCAAGCATAGAGTCTGCCAAGTACAGAAGAGTTGCCTTCACCACAGTGTCATGAGACAATCTGCAAACATGTCCAAGCATAGAGTCTGCCAAGTACAGTAGAGCTGCTTTTACCACAGTGTCATGAGACAATCTGCAAACATGTCCAAGCATAGATTCTGCCAAGTACAGAAGAGTTGCCTTTACCACAGTGTCATGAGACAATCTGCAAACATGTCCAAGCATAGAGTCTGCCAAGTACAGAAGAGTTGCCTTCACCACAGTGTCATAAGACAATCTGCAAACATGTCCAAGCATAGAGTCTGCCAAGTACAGAAGAGTTGCCTTCACCACAGTGTCATGAGACAATCTGCAAACATGTCCAAGCATAGAGTCTGCCAAGTACAGTAGAGCTGCTTTTACCACAGTGTCATGAGACAATCTGCAAACATGTCCAAGCATAGAGTCTGCCAAGTACAGAAGAGTTGCCTTTACCACAGTGTCATGAGACAATCTGCAAACATGTCCAAGCATAGAGTCTGCCAAGTACAGAAGAGTTGCCTTTACCACAGTGTCATGAGACAATCTGCAAACATGTCCAAGCATAGAGTCTGCTAAGTACAGAAGAGTTGCCTTTACCAAAGTGTCATAAGGCAATCTGCAAACATGTCCAAGCATAGAGTCTGCCAAGTACAGAAGAGTTGCCTTTACCAAAGTGTCATAAGGCAATCTGCAAACATGTCCAAGCATAGAGTCTGCCAAGTACAGAAGAGTTGCCTTTACCACAGTGTCATGAGACAATCTGCAAACATGTCCAAGCATAGAGTCTGCCAAGTACAGAAGAGTTGCCTTTACCACAGTGTCATGAGACAATCTGCAAACATCTCCAAGCATAGAGTCTGCCAAGTACAGAAGAGTTGCCTTTACCAAAGTGTCATAAGGCAATCTGCAAACATGTCCAAGCATAGAGTCTGCCAAGTACAGAAGAGTTGCCTTTACCAAAGTGTCATGAGACAATCTGCAAACATGTCCAAGCATAGAGTCTGCCAAGTACAGAAGAGTTGCCTTTACCAAAGTGTCATGAGACAATCTGCAAACATGTCCAAGCATAGAGTCTGCCAAGTACAGAAGAGTTGCCTTTACCAAAGTGTCATAAGGCAATCTGCAAACATGTCCAAGCATAGAGTCTGCCAAGTATAGAAGAGTTGCCTTTACCACAGTGTCATGAGACAATCTGCAAACATCTCCAAGCATAGAGTCTGCCAAGTACAGAAGAGTTGCCTTTACCACAGTGTCATGAGACAATCTGCAAACATGTCCAAGCATAGAGTCTGCCAAGTACAGAAGAGTTGCCTTTACCAAAGTGTCATAAGGCAATCTGCAAACATGTCCAAGCATAGAGTCTGCCAAGTACAGAAGAGTTGCCTTTACCAAAGTGTCATGAGGCAATCTGCAAACATGTCCAAGCATAGAGTCTGCCAAGTACAGAAGAGTTGCCTTTACCAAAGTGTCATAAGGCAATCTGCAAACATGTCCAAGCATAGAGTCTGCCAAGTACAGAAGAGTTGCCTTCACCACAGTGTCATGAGACAATCTGCAAACATGTTCAAGCATAGAGTCTGCCAAGTGCAAAAGAGTTGCCTTTACCAAAGTGTCATAAGGCAATTTGCAAACATGTCCAAGCGTAGAGTCTGCCAAGAAAAACTGTTGATACATTTCACTGCTGGGCTATTTCTGTGAGTACATTTTTATTTGGGCAGGTCTCTGTAGACCTTTGTCTTTAGTGTGTAAGGGCAAATCTGGCCTATTCGTGTTAATAAACGTTTGTATCTTTTATACATATATTTCATGTGACAGTCACAGAACTCCAGAAATCAGTTATTATACCCATATTTTTTACAGCACGCACTTGACAATGTTAACTTCCTGGACTCCTACTTGGCCTTAAGAACGAAACTTGTTGAAGATGAAAAAGCTGCAAAATTTCTGTCCCAGCTTCACAGGTAAGTTACTTCTAAAAACAAAGATAATCAAGGAATTGTGGAGAGAACAAACTAACAGTAAACATTCACTAGTAAAAAAACACTTGTTCCTTCACTTTCGATTATAATTAATATCTCCAATGCGAGAAACCTGTTTGTGGGAGATTTCACAATTATATTAATTTCCAAAACGCATATATGTCTCATAAATAAACAAAATTGAATTAAAAAAAACAACTACATAATAATATGTTTACATACATATGTTATACACCAGCATGGTGTTAGTATGGGATAAGAAACTGGAGTGGTAAACACTTATAGCTCCGACATGAAATCAATCTGTGTTTTTCCAACAGCAATCACAGGCAGAACAGTTAGCATGAATGGTAGAAGAAAAGCTATAGAATAGTAATTTAGCTGGTGGTACTTAACTGACCCCTGGCATAGACTAAAGATACAGCTTCTGCCGTGAACAGTTTACACTTGTCCAGCTCTGATCTGTCTCAGCTGAGGAAAGGATTCAAATCTCTACCGGAAGCAGGAGAATAATCAATAATTGTACATTAGGGAAACAATATATCCACCGTGTTAATAACACAATGTAAGTAAGACTGATTATTCATAGTAAAGTTTCTATCATAATCACATCCCAAATCAAAGCAAAATGTGGATCAATACAAATTACATTTTAGTCATATAAATATACAAGATATATACATTTAAAATAATAAATATATGCTCTGAGAATTTGATTAACACTATATATCCCATTATAACCCTGAGAGTTAAATAGGATATTTTTTTAAAAATTACAACTACTACTGTGAAGTAAACTCTCCTGTGCGTTTCATATCTGTTGTCCCTCATAATATTGGTACATTATTTAATAAATCTTAATAGCGCAGCATTACCGCTATCTATTAAATAGAACAGAAGACATTGTCTAAAGGCACCTCGTGACTGATTACCATTTCTTCTATTTTTTCGCATTGCGGATACTATTTCTTCTGTTTTTGCTCATTGTAATTACAAATTCTTCTTTGTTTCTGCTCAGATGCCATCTACCAACAGGCAAAGTCTACTGGTTGTGCAATAAGCATTCTTCGGGACCCCGCATTACTCATCTCAGTACCGAGGTCACTACAAGAAACGAAGTAGGTCGAGTTTATTATGAGGAGGATGTCAAACTCAAGGAGGTTCTGGGACACTCAGATGTATACAAACAAAAGAAAAAAGCCAAGAGCCCATCAGCTGGGATTGTTCTACCAAAGAGTAAGATATTTTTTAGTTTGATTTTGTTTGTTTGTTTATCTCAGCTATATCTGCTACATGAAGAATTGCATTTGACCCTTTATCCCCAAAATGCTGCTAATCTGCATTGCTGATTTGTCAGTTCCCAAAAAAGCCTAGTTAACATCATTGGTTCTGTTTGTCTGTGCAGTGTTTGGGAGGGCCGGATATGATTGTATTTACTAAAACAAATACCATTACAAATACCTTTAAAGGGGGTTACTGTATGCATCACCATATTAATAATTTTGTCACTACAAGGTATTTATAAGGGTGCCAGTATTCACCACAAAGTATTTGTTACATTTGCACTGAAAAAAATTATGCCCAAACAAAATTGTCAGCACTGTGTACTGTTGTATAGCACCTGAAACAAAAAGCTTTGGAATGTTGAATATTAAATGTTGAATGTTAAATTAAGAATCAACATAATAGCTCTCAGGACACTAGCATAAGCGCTCCATCCCCATCTTCAGCAGCAAGCAAAGAGTTCCAATTCCGATGGCACCAGTAACTGCCTGATGTGTATCTATGTCTCGCCGTTCCCCCTGAGTGTTGAGTGTCTGTCAGATCCCCTGGTAACTCCTCACATCACCATTCTGCTCAGACCATAACGATCTGTCTGTGTCTCCTCACTGTTCACTCACTCCCAAAGGGCCCTCACAATATCTAGCTTGTCATAAATCAGTTCACTACCAAGTGGTGCAGAGCGGCCAGTCTATCTGCTGCTCATGTCCCAACACACCAGCATACCTGGAGAAAATATCCAAAGGACGCTAACTATCCGGGACCTCAAAAGCGATGCTTACCACTCTGCACGGAGCATGCCTGTCTCAACATACTATGAGAGTCAGTTATAATTACGACATGTGTGTGCAGTTGATTCTCAATCCAGCAGAAGGCAGCAGTGACTGCCCCCACCTTTATTCTCAAACTAGACGTGATATCATATGCCAGGTTTTGTTGCACTAAAGCGGTGTCTATTCGCGTTTGCTATGAACCCCTATGCACTTTGACAATCTCTCAGCACCGATCCACCTGTATAAATGTAGTGAGTCATTTTCTCCTCATTAATTTATGCCCGATAGATGACGTCAGTAATAGATGTAAGACGAATGTTTTGACTGGCTGAGATAACACGAGATTTAT